AGTAAGTCAGTTAGAAAAAATATTTAAAATATGTAAGAGCATCATGTACTTGGAAAGTGGTAAAAGGGTGAAGCTTTCTATCTAATTTCTTAAAATCTAATTAATTTAATATTATTATGAATTTATGAAATTAGTGCAAACTACTTCATTAACAAGAGATGACACAATTTTTCAATATTTCTTATAACGATTGTTAAAGCCGAACATCCTTGATATTTGATAACGAAGTTATTATTTAGTTGCATGCAAAATAAATGTATTGAAATAATTTGTGTTTTTGTTATGATATATTTTAAAGGTATTGAAATAGTGGATGATAGTTTTTATGAGTGGTTGATGGCGACATGCAATTATCTGGAGTGGCTGGAAGTGGTTGGGGATTGGGGACGATGTAGGCTACAATGTTACTGAGTGTCAAGTGAGTGAGGGATTTCCTCTTCTGCTTGTCTCTTTTTTCTTGTTGAACCTCTTGTGGTTCCTCTCGGCCTTTCTGTAACTTGTTACTCTCTCTTCATCTCTTGCCAAAGTCCAAGCTTGTCATTCTCTTCACCAAAATAGCTAATGAATATATCTTTGGTACAATCTTTCAACAAATATACAATAATAATATTCAACTGCGCGTATCGTCAATCACGTGCCAAACATCCTCACCAATTGTGAGGCCAGTGGGGGAACCATGCCCCTAGTGCCCCTACATAGGGGTGTAAATCAGTTGAGCTGAGCCAGAGTAATATCTAACTCGAGCTCAACTCGCCTGTCCAATTGCGAGATTAAGCTCGAGAAGTAACTCCACTCGATATAATAAAAGATAGGCTCATAAGCCAACTCGTGAGGTCGAGCCAAAGATGAAGATGCTACAACATGAGCTCACAAGTGAAGTCATGGAAGAAAGAGTCATTAGAATGCATATGTGAATAATGGTGGAGAGAAGAAGTCACTTAGCAGTCCAAGCTCATCGAAGAAGGATTTAATGTGACTCATAGCTTCCATGGGTGCCTACAACCCTATTAATCATTGCATATTAATCATTGTCATAAAGAACTGTACCTATAGTCCTATTACTTAATGAAAAATGTTAAACCTCTTTTTTTTTAACAAAAGCTCTATTGAATGACCATTATTTTCTTTCTTCTCCTTATATCAACTACATAATTAATCAATATAAGTATAGAAGGACATAATAGAGCTCACATGAAAAGGCATCAATGTTACTAGATATACAAGTAAGCTTGCCATGTCACATGACGAACATTATCAAATTAATTTGAACTCGAGCATGCTTAATCTACAGGATCGAGCTCAAGGTCACGATTAGATAAGCTAGACTCATAAGCTCATTAGCAAATTTGAACCAACTTGAGCTCACTGACACCCCTACCTCTATTGTAATCCGTCCATTGATGCATCACTTTAATTATAAAATTAAGTAAAAAGATTTTTGTGGGCTTTTAGGGTCTATTTCAAATCTTTTTTATAATTTATTGTCGAGTACCTATCAAAGTTTCATTTAGCTATAAATTGTTACTTATTAAAAAACCTTGTATACAGAAGTTACTTCAAATAATAAAATCTATTAGCCTTATCGACAATTTGAAAAGAGAAAAAATTATAATATATAAACTACTTCAACAAAATATATAAATTTTCTCATAACAATTCGAAAATTATTTTTACAAATATATGCATCTCTAAATGGCTAAATGTACTCTGACTTTTAGATTTGACATTTTGTGAAGAACAACATCCTGATGTGGTTGATTGAATTAGCTCAATCATTTTACTTAGTAAATTTAAATGTGATATTTTGGAAGAGTTTGATGTTTTAAATGGCCGGATTCTTAATTATTATGATTATCAATAGAATTTTGTCTTTTCATATTTAGATAAGAGCATCAAAGAGCCTAATTTGAGTGAATTTGCCATTTGTTCGTGTTTGGGTCATTGTATTTTTTTTTAGTTCAGTAAGTGTTCAAATGGTTCATACATATCATGATCAAGTTTGAAAATAGGAGTAAATAGGCGGACCTAGTTTTTTCACACTCAATCTGATTGGTCGTATATGAGGCGATTGTCATGGGCGTAGAGTTGGAGTCTTAGCTAATTACGAACCAAATATTTTAGCCTAAACACGCAAACCACAGCCCTCCAAGGCCAACTGCCCAAATCTATCGTCTGAAAGGACCTGTCCTATATCAGCTCGATGTCTATCCGACCAGAGCCTTAGCTATCATCATCAAATCACCCCGAAATAATTTATGTTATCATAAAATATATAAAGAAATTGAATCAAATAAACCCTTAATAATTCTTTTAATTTTATTTTGATTGTGTTGCCACCTAACCACTAGTGCTATTTTTGCATACCATAATTGCCCCTCGAAGCGTATCAACGCATCACATTTCTCTCTCTAAAAATCACTTTCTTAACTCTACTTATCACAGCTAACTTGCAATTAGGCGGCGCTGCTCGCCTTTTTCCTCCAAATAACCCAAATCTAACAAATTGTATGCCGCGTGACAGCCTAATCTGGCGGTGACCACACCGCAGCTCTTCCCATACGCCAACGCACACGTGTTCTTTGATTTGGAGCATCGGAGATCCTCGCGCGCCGCCTCCGTTAAGCGCCACGTCAGCTCCCGCACGTGCCGCTCGCCGTAACGGTACCTTTCCTGCTCCGCCACGTGGTTTCTTTCTAACCGTCGGATGCCGGTTTCCGATGATCCGATCGAGAATGAGAGAGAGATTCAGGGGCAAAATTGGCAAAAGAACTATTAAATGCGATCCGACTTTGGCCACCAAACCTCGTCGGACGGCCATAAAGTTGCGAGTAAAGAGGGGGAGTTCGTACGGAAAGCTCGACAGCGACGGCCCCTTTCTAATCTCCGTATTTGCACCTCTACCTTTTCAATTTCCCTTATTTACAATTTCCTCCTTTTCCGAGGTCTAAAATGAGAAATAAATTATACGAGGGGCAGATATCTAATTTGGTATGTGTGAGGGGGGTTAAAGGATCTGCATGAGAGAGGGAGGTAGGAATTGACGTCGACCGTCTTCTATTCCCATTCCCAGTCTCTGTCAACTCATTCCCACGACTGAAAAATGTCACAAATTTCACCAAAAATAAATTTTTTATTTGAAGATTTTACAGAAATAGCAATTAATAAAAAATATGTAATTTTTAATATTTTATATATAGCAATATTGCATGTGATGAAATATGAAGAAATAGTGAGAAATAAATATTTCATTTTTAGATAATTAATAAATTATTGGTTTCAATTTAATTCCAAATAGGGAATTACAGAGGAAGAGGAATGAACGAATCTTAATAAAAAGTAACGGCTAAGATCTCAATAATTATATAAAAGTGTTATAATTGCATATATTTATTTTTGAATAATTAGCATGAAATGATAGGGTTGAGATTTGAAGTTTGAAGAAGTAAAATAATTTATTTTAAAATTGAGAGAATAAAATTTATGAATGAAATTATTACGATATATTTCATTAAAAGGGATGTCATATCGAATATAAGGAATTAATGATTAGACATTATATTTTCATTATCTTATCATTATATATGATATCATATAAATTAAGGTCAAAATAAAACTTTATTGAAATTTTTCGATTCAATTTTGAATTTATGCATAAAAAGATGAGAGTTAGTTCATATTTTCTTTATGTATTATAAGAGCTTGTTGAATATAATATTATTCGTAGGTGACACTTTTGCCTCACTCATAAGAATATTTATAAAATATGTGTCTGTGTGATGAGAGAGAGATAGAGAGGGAGAGAGAAAAGCTTTGTTATATTTTCATTGCTTGAAAGTGAAAGCCTTGAGATAGATTTTATGGTTGAATCTATATGATTTGAGGCTTCAAAAATTCTATTCTTAGTCAACCGTCATGACTAAGTTAAATAATGATAATCTTATATGATTGTACGTCGCAGGGATTATTACGTGCGGAGTTAGGACATAGAGAACTGCTCGGTTTTGTGACTGTGAATAGTAAAAGCGTAGATGAATACTAACTGCGCTTTTAATATTCTCGATCATAAAACTGAATGATTATATGTGTCTAAAACTCTGCATGTAATAATCCTCTTGATTGTAGTTGATTATAGTGATTGCTTTGATTGTGTAATCTATTATAACCACATAATTTAGATATTGAGTTATATAGTACCAATTTATCATAGCCAATTGATTTGTACCCAAAGTTGACCTGAATGAGGTTTAAGTATATAAAAGTAGATCTAACTTATAACTTTTAAACATTTATTCGCCCGACTCAAATTGACTAATTTGACCATATTTGAATATTTTCTCATATTTCTACCTAAGTATGCAAGTAAGTACAATATGAATGACTTGGTTTCATATATAACTCTTCTATCGTCCAACAAATATGAAGATCACCGAATATTTTTATTCAAAATTGACTCATTTATGATTAAGCAAAGCAAAATCATAAAAAACATCTACAATTTTTCATTTATTAATGTCATCAATTGCATGAAAAAAATTATATATATATTTTTTAAAAATTTTGAAGTAAAATTTGCTAAGAAAAACATACATATATATTCTATATTATATTGGGAATTGTCCCAAAGAGGTACGCTCATGGAGTTCATGGCTGGTTATCAATGGAGCCATTTCGAACAATTAAGAACATAATGGATTAATAGCCATCTCTCCAAGAAGATAAATACAAGAATCATAACTCACAAGTCGTCCATATTTTCACTATATGTTATCATAAACCAGCCATTAGGTAGATTCATCCACTCACAGCAAGCTAGATCCCAAAGCCTTTAGAAACTTTAATGGAGGAGGTGACCCAACTCAGCAACTGAGCTCACCGAGCCCCACAGGGCACAGACTAGAGAGAGAAACGGACCATAGGATTTAAAAGTCCCGGGCTTTAAATCGCGTCGGTTACCATTACCTCCCTCTCATTACTCCTCTCCCTCTCTCTTCAGAGAACAAGGAAGCAGAGCAAAGCTCGGCGAGGAGAGAGAAAGAGAGTTGGGAAGGAGAGTGAGGAAATAAATTCATAGCAGACCCGGAAATTAATCGGTGCATAATAAGGGGGGATGTTGGGAAGAATCGGCCTGGATTGCCGCCGATCTTTGCGACTCGGCCGCGGCGATTTCCATTTCTGGGAGGAGCCACGGCCTAAGTTTGAGGAGAAGAGTGAGCGAGGAGGAGGAGAAGGGAGTGTCAAGATAGAGAACGCGTTTTCAAACGCTTTCCTCCTTCGTTGAACGCAAAGTTCTTCTATGCACTGGCTCCATGAAGATTCAGTGGCGACGTGGCTATAAGAGGAAAGCGGAAAGGCTTCGGTAGAGAAAGAGAAAGAGAGTGTGGGCAGAGCTCTGCGTTTTTTAGAGCAAAAAAAAGGTGCGATTTTTGCCGCGGGAGAAGAAGAGCAGGATGGATTCCGGCGACGAGCAGGATGTGACGGAGTCGAAGGGGAAGAAGAAGAGATATCATAGGCATACGCCGCGCCAGATTCAGGAGCTTGAAGCGTATACATTCTCTTCTCCTCCTTCATATCCTCCCCTCTGTTTTTCTGATAAAAATCCCAATTTTCATTATTATTATTTTTTGGATAGGATGTTTAAGATAAACCCTCATCCGGATGAGAAGCAGAGGATGCAGTTGAGTCGGGATTTGGGGCTCGAGCCACGGCAGATCAAATTTTGGTTCCAGAATCGCAGGACGCAGATGAAGGCAACATATAAATTTTTTTTTTCTTTCTTTCTTTCTTCCTCAGTTTTGTTAAAAAAGATTGGTTTTTTTATGGCAAAAAGTTGTTTCCATTGGTTCAGACTCAACATGAAAGGGCTGATAATTGTGCTCTACGTTCGGAGAACGACAAGATCCGGTGCGAGAACATCGCCATGAGAGAGGCGCTGAAGAACGCAATCTGCCCAACATGCGGCAGCTCTCAAGAATCTGAGGATTCTTACTTTGATGAGCAGAAACTGCGAATGGAGAACGCCAGGTTAAAAGAGGAGGTGATATCTTTTTCTTTTATAAATTAATTGGCTTTCTCATAATTTGAAGTTTTTACTTCTACAATCTACATTCTATAAACATCAGAATCATCTCTCATCTTCTTCTTATTAATGTTAGAATTGCATTTTCTTGTGAATTAAAGTGCGTGCAACTGCCTGGTTTTTATGACTCTGCCAAACTTTCAATCTGTTCAGGCTGCAATTTATGATTATAGTTAGGTTATATTGAGTAAGTAATGTGCACCTAATCATTACATGCAGCCTTCGAAATGGTACATTTAATGCTCTGCTTTGATCATTTTGAAGCTTATTCAAATTTTACTAGTCTGGATTTATATTCAATGGATGGTTATAAGGTTTTTGTTTCAGAAAAAGAAAAAGAAAAAAAATCAAATACTTATAGTAAATGATAGTTCTTATATGGAGGATGGTTTTAGTTTTGATTGTTCTAATACTTTAACTATTGTTTCTTAATCTTTCTGTCACCTGTTGTTTCTCATTTCAGCTTGATAGGGTCTCAACAATTACATCGAAGTATCTAGGAAGGCCTATCACACAGCTTCCTCCAATTCAACCTTTATCAGTTTCATCGCTTGATCTCACTGTTGGTGGCTATGGGAATCCTGGGTTTGCCCCGTCGCTTGACATTGATCAGCTTGGTGTTGGTCCTCCGACAATGGCATTCCCGTTCCTCACAATTTCGGAGATTGAAAGGCCAATGATGGTGGAGCTTGCAACCCGATCGATGGAGGAGCTGATAAGGCTTGCACAGACTGATGAACCTCTTTGGACCAGAATTGGAACTAATGGAAGGCAAATTCTTAATCTTGAAACCTATGAAAGGATTTTCCCCAAACCGGTACAACAATTTCGATCGCCCGATACTCGGGTTGAGAGTTCAAGAGACTCTGGAGATGTAATGATGAATTCCTTAGCATTAGTCGACATGTTTATGGACCCAGTGAGTTATCTTAGACAGGTTTTAGTGTTTTCCCGTCACCATTTTCAAAATATAGAGTTCTGATCAACTTCTATGTTGCAGGGCAAATGGATGGAGCTATTTCCCTCAATAGTTTCAAATGCAAGAACAATTGAAGTCCTTATGCATGGAATGGATGGAAGTAGGAGTGGAGCCTTAGTTTTGGTGATTACAAAGAACCTAAATAGTCATATATTTCTTCTCCTTTTAATTTTTTCCATGCATTCTATTGGGGATATCTAATTCATGAGGTTGCAGATGTATGGTGAATTTCTAGGTCTATCACCCGTCGTTCCCTTGCGCGAATTTTTCTTCCTCAGATACTGTCAACAGCTTGAGCAAGATTTGTGGGTAATTTCAGATATCTCCATTCTCTACCCAAAAGAAAACCAGTTTTCTTCTTCCACAAAATGTAGACTTCCCTCTGGTTGTTTGATTCAAGACATGCCAAATGGATACTCTAAGGTAATTACTAAAGTCATGAATGTATATATATTTCTTTTTTAATGGCTTCTCTAACTGTTTAAACCAATAGGTAGTGTGGGTTGAACACATGGAGATTGAAGAGAAGAATCCAATCCACCAGCTCTACCATGATCTAGTTGATAGTGGGATAGCTTTTGGAGCTCAGAGATGGATTGCAACTTTGCAAAGAATGTGTGAGAGGATAGCTTGTCTAATGGTGACTGGTAACTCTCCTAGGGACCTTGGAGGAGGTATATATAATTGTTGATCAATTGGTAATATGAGGAAAGCCATTAGCTCTGCAAGTTGATTTCCTTCATTTATATGGTTTATTTACAGTTATTCCAACAGCTGAGGGAAAGAGGAGCATGATGAGGCTTTCTCAGAGAATGGTGAGCAACTTCTGCTCCACTCTAGGCTCATCAAATGGCCATCGCTGGACTGCACCAGCTGGGCTCAATGATGTCGGCATCCGGGTTACTGTTCATAAGTGCTCTGATTCTGGCCAACCAAATGGTGTCTTTCTTACTGCTGCAACCTCCATATGGTTGCCATTCTCCCCTCAAGCAGTCTTCAGCTTCTTCAGAGACGAGCGATCCCGTGTTCAGGTTCCCTTGCAGAACTCACAACTTTTATTTCCTAACGGTCTTCTAAATTCAAACTTTCATGAGTTTTTTTTTTTAATTTGAAGTGGGATGTTCTATCAAACGGCAAAGCAGTTCAGGAGGTAACTCGGATTGCAAATGGTCAACACCCAGGAAATTGCATCTCCCTCCTTCGAGTAATCATCTAAAACATGTTCAAAATACATTCATTTTACACAAATTTATACTAACTCCACAAGTATTGCATCCCCTTCCTGTTTATTTTTTTAAATCAAACAGGCAGCAATGAATCCCTCCAATCCGAATGAAGGGAATATGCTGATCCTCCAGGAGAGCTGCACAGACCCTTCAGGTTCATTAGTAGTGTATGCTTCGATCGACCTGGCGTCGATTAACATAGCCATGAGCGGCGAAGACACATCGTACATACCTCTCCTTCCATCAGGATTCACAGTGCTTCCCGACGGCCGGCCAGGAACCGGAAGTAATGCATCTTCAAGCTCAAATCCCATGGGAGGATCCTCAGGCTCGGTGCTCACCGTCGCATTTCAGATCATGGTGAGCAGCTTGCCATCAGCAAAGCTTAATCTCGAGTCAGTTGCTACTGTAAACAACATCATCGGTGCCACAGTGCAGCAAATAAAGGCTGCTTTGAGCTCACCCGGCGCCTGAGAAGAAACATGGCAGAGCAGAGGGTGCAAAGCTAGCTTGTTTAAGTCAGGTAAAAAGAAGTAGATTGATCGCTAGTTCTGCAACTGTTCAGCTCTGCAATGGGTATACATTTTTTTTTTCTTTTTTTCTTTTTTGATGTGCATATAGGCATGTATGTAGTCCCCTGCTGAGATTGTTCTGATAGGATTTAGCACTTAGATTTTCTTTGCTGTTCAGATTTACATTCCTTTTGAGCTTCAAAAATTGTAGTCAACTGAAGATGAAATCTCTCATTGATCCTGAGTTCCTGACTGACATCCTGTAGTTTCTATATTGTTTTTTGAATTAATCAAAAGAAAGGTTCTTTACAGTCTTTGAGGGCACATTACTATCCGTTGGGTAGTCGTGAAAGTTGTGAAGGGCTTCAAAGCATATTTTTTTTTTTTTTTCAAGTGCTTTGAGTTGGAATTTATGAAGTTTTAAGGAAAAAAAAGTTGTTTGAGGGTATTCTAAATAAAATTTTATTCGCATGAGTATTATAATTTTTTTTATTTATTTTAAGATGAAATATAAAAATTAATTGATTATTTATATATTGTACATATCTTTAGATTAAATAAAAAAATGAAATTTATTGTGATTAATATTTGATTAGGATGTCTTAATGTTGGCTTTATTTGGTACATTATTTTTATTTCTATGATTTTTTGTAATTATAATTTCTATTTGGTCATTATTTTTTCATTATTTTTGAAAAAAAAATTGTATTAGAAAATTACTTTTTATAAGAATGTTATAAATTTATTTCCTACAGTAGTTTTATGAAGCAATAAAAAAATTATTTCAAACAAAATCTTAATTCAGAGATAAATGGATGAAGCTGATATTTTTTGTTTTACTTAAACTCTTAGTCTTCACTTGGGACGGTTTTCTTCCTGTTTTTTAGAGCGATCTTTTTTTTATATAAAAATTAAAAAGCTGTTTAAATTTTTGTATTAAAAAGTTGATTGAAAAAGCAACAAAAAAAATGGACTCAAACTAAGCCTTAGGCTTCGTTTGGGACGGCTTTTTTATTGCTTTCTAAAACAGAGTTTTAGTACAAATTTTTTTATTTTTGTATTAAAACTTCGTTTTAAAAAGTAGTAAAAAAACTGTCCCAAACGAAGCCTTAATCTTAAAACGGAGAACTTTTCATAAAGCTTGAACTAAACAACAAATTATTTCTTCAAAAAGGCGAAAGAAAAGAGCAAAAGTGTAATTTTGAAATTATTCATTTTTCTTGTTTGATGACTTAGAAAGGTTCGTCCCCATGCTCATCCTACTGTGGCTCTCATCATCACTTCTCGCCTTTCTACATCACATCTCTCACTTTCGTCGCCCATTTTCAACATTTGTGACTGAAATCTTTAGAAGATCTCAGATTGGCCTTTGGAGAACAAAAGAGACAAATTTCTCTTTTCTGCATGGCTCAAATTACCTGTAATCTTATGAAAATAACTTCTCACTTTCTTCCACTGCAACAATTAGTGAACTTTTTGTGTGAGAGTTTTAACTTAAAGGAACAAATTCTAATGAAAAATTTTAAAAAATTGTAGAATTTTGTATAGTCCACCTCCCCTTTACTCATTAATTGATGAAACTTAGATGAAATAGTTCCCTCAACCTGCAGTTCCTACGGTCCAACAATATAGAAAAAGCTTTGTTGTTTGTGTCATGTTGTTGCCTTACAGATTGAAAGATTGTGATCTTCAGCCTCTTAGCTTCGATGATGATGCTCGCAAGATGGTACTTGCTTACATGCATGATGGAATAAAATAATCTTACAGCAAAGAATATTAAGATTTCATTTGAGATAATTTTTTATATTACTTTTCTGCTGCTTTTAAAAAAATTTTGAAAGCTGTTCCAAACGGAGCCTAATACTTTGATGCTTAGGGATATATAAAAGTCATGGGCTATGGTATCAGAAAGAAGTTTCTTTCTCTTATTCTAAAAGAAATCAGGATAAGTCCTTAAAAATTATCTTAACTGGGCGCGAATTTCGATGCAAAATTAAATTGGAAACTTCAAAAATTAATTCGGAGACCATCCTAACTCCGATTTCAGCAAACTTATAGTCGAACTGAGCGTCTCGGAAATACGAACCCAACGACACCAAATTCAAACTCGATCTGAGCCCAAATGGGTCCGAATCAATGGACCTGAAGCGCTGTTGGAAGGTTCAAACAGCAATTTAAGATACCAAACGGTCTCCGATTTTAACGAGCTTATACTCGAATCGAACGGCTTGACGAGAAGAATCCAACGAGCCTAAGATCGCCGAATTCCAACATATCTAAGACCTTCGAATGTCTAACGAACGGTGCACGGTCGTAGGATTCGATATCGGCCGTCCATTCGACCACTCCTATTCGCCCCTGATCTCACGCCTATTTACGAGCTATGCCACTCCAGAAAATCTATAATATAGGCCTCATTATTCACAAAAGGGGGTCAAGCAAGAAGAGAAGAGGAGAAGAGAAGGAAGAGAAGGAAGAAGCTCCTCCTCAGACCACCGTCGGAACCTCGCCGGACCACGTAGGAGCCTCGCCGGACATCGCCAGAGCCTCGCCGGACCACCGCCAGAGCCTCGTCGGACCACCGTCAGACCTCGCCGGACCACCGCCGGAGTTTCACCGCACCACCATCTCAAGACGACTTCAAGGCCCGATGTTCAGGCCCGACGTTCTGCTGAACCCGACATCTGCTCGAAGGCCCGACATTCTGCTCAAGTCCCGACGTTCTGCTGAAGGCCCAACGTTCTGCTCAAGGCCTGGACGTTCGGCCGACGTTCTGCTGAAGGCGCCCGACATTCTATGCTCAAGGCCCGACCATTACTGCTCAAGTCCCGGACGTTTTGCTGAAGGCCCAACGTTCTGCTCAAGGCCCGACGTTTAGGCCTGACGTCTTCATCTGAGGCCCTCACCTTCGCCAGAGGCCCTAACATTTGCGAGAGGCCCTCACTTTTACCAGCGGCCTTCACCTTTGTCAAAGGCCCTCACCTTTGTCAGAGGCCCTTGTCTTCACCAGATCATCATCAAAGGCCGTGTGCTCCACCATAACATCACATGAGGCCCAGACTTCCACCGGACCATTACTTAAGGCCTTGAGCTCCACCAAGCCACCACCTGATGCCCACAGTTCTCCCAAAATACTGCCGACTACGGTCCTTTCGACCTCCGGTCCTTCCGACCTCCATCACCAGACAACGGTCTTTCTAACCCAGGTCTTCTGCCGACTAGGGTCCTTACGACCTCCGTCGCCTACTACGGTCCATCCGACCTCCATCAACAGAGAAAGGTCTTTCTGACCCCGATCTCCTGCCGACTACGATCCTTCCGACCAAACAAACATGTATATGTAACTCCTACCATGTAATGCAATCTATATGATGTATATTTGCTACATCAATACAAGGCCTTCTCCAAAGGAAGGGCCTCATTTGTAATCGATTGCAAATACTAGTGGATTTATTCAAACTGGGTCAGGCCCCGTGGTTTTTCCCCTTTTTCAGGGGTTTTCCACATAAAAACTCTGGTGTCTCTTATGAATGTTTCACCCCCTCTCTTATATGTTTGTGTGCTGGATCTTCGTACAATGCTAAGACGTTAAACCATATATTTCTCTACCGCCGCAAATATTCCAGGACGCAACAGTTATATTTGTTGAAAATATAAAGCTTTGCTGGATAGTCGAAGACGACGCTGCTACAAACGTTTTTGGTGATGACGATAAGTGCTTTTTTGAAAGCTAATGAACTGCTGTCAATCTTACCGTTAGCTTCACTTGTTTGAAGTCTCTTCGTTGAGTTGATTAACACGATTATTTAGGTTTTTTCAAATTTAAAAGCTAAAGCTTTATTAAAATAGGGAAGGTGTATTAAAATTTGAACGAGCAGCAGGCTTTTTTATATCTCAATATTATCGTTCTTAGTAGCTCAATAAGCATTTAATTTAAAATTATTTTATTATAAACAAATAGTATTTAGGAGTGTAATTAATTTAATCAAAAGTAGGGGTTTTGAAATTTTAGATGATTTTTTTTTAAAGAGAGATAAATCCAAAGTTGTTTAGAGCTGTTTGGTTTGCACAAAAAAGAAGTATAAAGTCAAAGGAATGTAGGGGTTTTAAAATTTTAATTATTTGATTTTATAAAAAAAAACAAAAGAAGAATGCAACATAAAAATTTTAATGTATTTGATATTCATCATTTAGTTTATTTTAAATGTATTTGAAATTTGGCTAATTCTAGTTGAATTTCAAATATATCGCCTTATTTAAGTTTCACTTGCCATCCACTACCATTAGCTACCTCTGCCACATGCTACTACTATAGCCCGCCTCTATCGCCGCCACCCGCATCTGGCTCCACACCCATCATTGGCTCGCCATTGTCGCTCGTCACCCCATCGCATACCACCCACTATTGCTACCATTGAATTTTACATTTAATTTTTTAAATTCAAACCAAACACAAAAAAATCTAATATTTATTTTATACTCAATCAAATTATTCAAACATTTTAAATAAATAACAATTATTATTATTATTATTTGCATTCATTTGTAGTGAATAGAAATACCACTTTACAGGTTTGGAACTTTCCTCATAATTCATTTTTGTTGTATTTGAAATTCGAATTCATTGTCTCACCCAGAAATACCTCTTTACAGATTTGGAACTTCCCTCGTAATTCTTTTTTTTTTGTATTTGAAATTCGAATTCATTATCTCACCCACTTTAGTTTATGCATTGCAATCAACAATTCAAAGATTGGACTCGATCGATCAGTTCAATCATGAACTAGTCACTTGACCAGCTCATGTGAGCTCAACAATTGGATTCACACTAACCGATCAGCTCGACGGATCATGAAATTAAAGAAATACCGAGATGTATTTGCATTTATATACATATAAAATATTAAATATGATTAAAAATATTAGTTTTAGCATTTCATTTAATATCTACCAATAATTTAAATTTTAGAAAATTAGTACTGAATAGGCTGAAAAGTTGAATAACTAACATACTAGTTATATCCTATAATTTAATTTATATTCAAGAAAATTTAGATTGAGATTTGTACAAAGCTTCATTAAAGAGCCATTTAATACACCATGCCTAACATATGTCTATCCAAGCATTACTAAATTTGTTAAATAGTCTTACTTAAAAGTCAACTTAGCCAATTTAATGCTATAAAAGATTGGTTATTTAGCTTAAATCTTTTATATCTAAGTTTTTGAAGGAGATGTGATGGGAAGAGAAAAGACCATCATAAATCACATCAAAAGAAGTAATAATTTTATCAATGAATTTAAAAAAAAAATTAATTTCAATAAATACCTCAATGTATTGAGTACATTATTTGATGTTGATTATACAAACAAAGGCTATAATCCTTCTTTTTTGGGGGTAAATTGAGAGCTTAGGCTCCAAATTTTCAATTTTTTTTATAGGGATTAGGCTTAAATTGAATTAACAAGAAAAATTTATAGAGGGGTCACAAATTAGCAATAGAGTTGGCCAAAAAGCTATGAAAATCATCTTCGTCATAAGATATATATTTTTATATTTTAATTTAGGCTTAAATTGAAAATCATCTTAAAATGTAATACCACGCACATGAGGGTAAACACTCTTAAATATTTATTGAAAGTCACTTGTGAAAATAAATGATTAATTGAAATAAATGAAAGATAAGATGAGATTGACAAATAACATATGTAAGAACACTACATTATCATTGCATGTCCTGCCTTATTTTTTATAATTATACTCATGATAATATTTACCTAATAGCACATTAAATTAATTGATATTATATTAAATTGATTGACAGATTGATAGTTCATACTGTCATTAATATGGATACAATATAACATAGCATACTGATATAATTCATTGCGTGATAGTGCTTTTTATTGTATGTCTTATAAATTAATAGATTTCTTTGGCCTTTACTGATCATATTGATTTTATTATTAATTTTTAAAATTTCTATTGATCATATTAAGTGATGGTTTATATTGACTAAAATAAAAAAATACATACATATTAATTCTTTAGCCTTGTATTGAAAAAAGTGATAGAATTTTGGTTACTTGATGAGCTTTTATGCTCATTATGTGAAATTTTATAATTTCAAGTAAGTGAATGATTCATGATCAGTTGGAGTGAGATTGATAGAGATCCTCAGGTTTTCTTTAAGTTTTGTTCTGCATTTTCTTTTTATTCTTCTACAGTCATGAGCTTGTAATAGATTATTGATTGTATTGATCTCCTGACTTTAAATAATGATTTTTTTGGAGAATGAATATAATGCAATATTTTAAGTTATGTTATTGTTAGTTGATTTTTTGCTGATTATTATTTATATTGATGATTTATACAAGTTCTAATATATTTTTAAAAAGATAAAATAGATAATTTTTTCAAATTTGATTCTGAGGCATTATATAAGACAGGTAAAAAAAATATGATACTTATTAGATACATTTTCAATAAATGTCAAACGAAACCTAAGGCTTCGTTTGGGTCGGCTTTTTTATTGCTTTCTAAAACGGAGTTTTAGTACAAAAATAAAAAAATTTGTACTAAAACTCCATTTTAAAAAGCAGTAAAAAACCCGTCCCAAACGAAGCCTAAGTCTCTCTTTTCAAGCTAATTAGTTGCTGATCAAAAAGAGCTGCGAGTAAAAAGCCTCTAGTACTTCCATGGGCCAAATAACGAGCCCTGTACCCTAACAGCGCCGCGGCAGCATCGCAGTTGCGGAGGTTTATCGATAGTTAATGAGGCTGAGACGGCGAGGAGGAGTCGCGGCTCGCTCTGCTTTGCAGACTAACGCGTAACTTCCTGCTAGGTTTGGGATCTATTGCCACTTTGTTGATCGATGGGGTACGTGCAAGAAGCCAGAGAGAATCATGTGAAGAAGAAAGTGGAAGAAGGTAATATCTTCACCAATCAACATATTATGCGCTTAAATTTCCTCTATTAAGATCCTTCTTTACTAAATAACGAGTTACGATCTGTAATCAAGTCCAATGGCGTTTTCCCCTTTTGTGTTTGCTTCATTTGCCCTATCTAGTGGGACGATCAAATTGAAATGTGTGGTTCAAGATTGTGATATAGCATGATTAGAGAGTTTCCTTATTTATTTGTGTATGAAACCTGGGAAAGGAAAGGAATTTACCTTGAAGGTCTGCAATTTGGTGCCTGACACTTGCAAGGAGCGGTCTTTTTGGTGCAGAACCTTAAGAGTTGAATTAGAATAGAAGGAATGGGTGTTGACATTATTTGTAACGAGCTATATTACTAGATTGCACAAAAAAAACAAAGTTTTTACTGACCATTCCTGCATTAATTTAGCTGTACGAATCCCTATTTAAGGAATTCCAATACAATGTGCTATTCTCAATGCTTGGTTGGTAAGTCATTAAACTTAGATGGGGGGGGGAGGGATTTCAAATATCACTTATTGGAAGGACCATTATGTTCTTTATGTGGAGAAGATCATGAAGTCTTACTGTTACCTATTACATTGTTAACAAATTAAGCAAACCAACATCAACATAACATATCATTTCTTTTCATCATAAGAGTACTTGTAGAATACCAAACATAGAATTTGAAGAGAGAAGAAGGGGGCCATGATATAATACATAAAGTGATGATTTAAACGCACATGCCTTCTTCTTTAACTTATTGACTTTTCATCTTCCAAGGTTCATGAAATGAAAACGATGTTTCATCTTCTCTATTTATTAAATGGCCAAAATTTAAGAGTTTCCATATATAATCTATTTAAAGATGACTCCAAACCTGTAAAAATACTCTTCCTTTTTCCAATCATGGTTCCACCATCTCATAAATGACACACAAAATAGCAAATATATTAATTCTTTAAGCAAAAAAAAACAACTACAAACTTTCTCTATCAGCAATACATCAAGCGAATTATTACGAAAATATATTTTCTCCAAATATCAAATATAGCTCATGAAAATGTATTAAAATAACATGACTTGTGCTTCCTCAATATGACTTATATAAAAATCAAAACTGGATCCATTCTTTTTAAGTTATTAGATGATCCGCCATCTCATTGTGTCAAATCTTAAGTTAAGGTTCTTGAAAGCATACTTTTGGTATTTCAACTCCCAATTGTTATGCATGATTTTCTTTTTTAATCATGCCTCTGGCCCAGAAATATTCCAACATTCCTTATTTAACTGTTAATTTGAGTATAAATTTGAACTTCTTTTTGTGTATTTTCTTTCATAACCTTTATGATGAGGATTCATAGTTTGTTGAGTGCAGCTTTGCGTAGTAAAATGAAGCAAAAGGCACTCAAGGAATGCGACCATTATGTTGCAAAATATGCTGAATGTGCTTCTGGAAGAACTCTATCTGTAGTTTGGCTCTGCAGGAAGCAGGCAAAGCTGTTAAATGAATGCCTTCATGATTAGTAAGTTCTATTCCAAGACATCATGAACTACTTTATTTTTAGCTAGATGCAGTTAGGTCTTGTGTAAGCTCTCATTTCATATATATATATATATATATATATATATATTATTGCCCACCTACCTACAAATCTCTAGTTTAAAATTTGATGAGGAGTTTAAACATTTAAAATCTTTTACCCTTAAAGAATAAATCAAGTAGTGGCTGATATGAAGTAGCCTCATTTCTTCCTTAAAAGTCTTTTCACGGTTATCTCAAACAAGTAAACCCTTTTTCCAATATAACTGGTTCCTATGAAATACAGATGCAGCATCTTAATCTCTCAATGACTAAAATTTTATTTGTTATCTGTACAAATGGTGCAAAATTTTATATGTGCTGTCATGATGTACAACTTTACAATCATTTGAACATTGAATAAATGAAGACATAGATTGGCATGCAAATTTCAAATTCAAAATAAACTATGAGCTTTTGATTTTGACTTTGAATCTTGATATTGAACTTCTTGTTCGTTTCGTAAATTTAAGTATGGACGCCCAAGTAACTACTAATTTATTAGACTAGACCTTCATCATTTCTTATCAATAAAGATTAACTTCTATATTGAAAAAATTATGAAGTTTACTGTATTCTAGATTGCAGGCATTTCACAATTTTGGGATAGTAAATAACTAGTAGGCTTAGGTTTCTGTGTGCATGCAATAAGATTGGTTAAATGCCTTCAGTTTTGGCTTCCACTTTTCTTGGATGAGTTTGCTTCTCGGTAATGAATTATAATTTCCATATTTGAAATAGAACTACATTGCACCAAGTAAATAATCTTTTTTTTTTTAAGTTTAAAGTAGCAAATGCTTTTGCATAAAAAGCATGCTAAGTAGTATTTGCACTCTTTAACCTTCTTTTCAGTATTGAAATGTTAGATACAAGCTTAGTCTATTTGATACTGACGAATGTGTGCATTTAGTTCATACAGATGCAGAAGATTGAACAAACTTAGGTTTAACTATCTTGTTTAGGTTTAAATTTCTACAGAGATGAAAATGTATAATGGTTTGAAAATTTTTTTTGGCAAATTCGACTTAGTGTAGTCTTTTGCACATGATGGAGGAAATTAGGAGTATTTTGTCAAGTCAAATTGCATATTCTCTTATGTTTGGTCATATATATATGTTGGAGGGTGATCAATGTACTTAAAATTGACAATTTCATCAGAGTTCTCATACAATTCCAATGTTTTCTGTCCATACTGCTAATAAAGGTTATCATTGAATTATACTTTGCGTATCAGAATCCATGATTAATAAGTCACCAACTCAAGGTTTGAGTTCAGTCAAAATGGTGGTTTGATTGTGGGGAACTTCCTACTTTAGTGTGCCAAAAAAGCTCCAAGGAAAAAAAAAAAAAAAAAAAAAAAAACAAAGTAAAATTTCCAACACATTCTGACTTCTTGAAAGCATGACTCCAACTAATTGCACTCCTGCATTTTCCTATGCCACATTATCAAGTAAATATGTGATAACTTAAAATTCAGAAATATAAAACCTGTCAAATTTTTCTAAGGCTTCGTTTGGGACGGCTTTTTTATTGCTTCTTAAAGCTGCTTTCTAGTTAAAAAATAAAAAAAAATTGTACTAGAAAGCTGCTTTAAGAAACAGTAAGAAAGCCGTCCCAAACGAAGCCTAAGTTTGCGAACCATTAGTGTATTCATATATACGCTAGGTTATTGTTGATAATTGGGATCTGAGGCCTCCAACCTCTTCATTTGGTTGCACCAAGAGCTCTAATGTTGTAGTTTGTCTTAAGGCCTAAGGTTCATTAATGCAGATATAAGATGAGATGTGTAAAGAAACACAAGAATACAATCTCAAAGCATCTAATTTTTTATTTATAAAAATAAAACTCACTTTCATTTCTTCCAATTGATAATACAGAAATCATCAAAATCTCAAATTTCACGAAAGATTTGAGAACAAATATAGAATTTTGCAGTGATTAAGATTCACACTATAAAATAGAAATCAATCTCTATTAAACTTAATAAGATCTTAATCATGCTCACAAATATATTACTAAACACTTTAGAAATAAAAATAATAATAGAACTCATCAACGGGGTTAGCTGGTGTAGCTAGAAATTGAAAATTGAAGTTTACAAAGCAACAAATTCTTGAACTCTTGTAGCAAGTAATTTTAGGAAACAACAAGATAACAGGCAAGTGAAACTCAAGGAAATAAAGTTTCAAATGCCAGAAGGAACACTAGGAGTGTTGCAGCATGGAGGAATTTGGAAAAGAAGATTGGAATCTAGACTGTTCTTGATGAGGGTTGAATTGAAATGACTTACAGAAATAGACCAATCATAACAAGATAATCAAACACTAAATAGCACATCATATCTCATAGGAATCATCATAATTTACAAAAGATAAACTAGGAAATGGAAAGTAAGGACAGCAAAATAGTATCACATATGATTTTGTTAAGGACAACAAAATAGTATCACATATGATTTTGTTAAAGCAAGAAGCTTTATTAAGCGAAGATGGAATTAAGAGGCTGTCATCCCATCACTGGGTGTAGCTACCTCATTTTACAGAATTTCATCATTCTATTTAGCTTCCCTTAAAGAGAAAAATATCACTTCCTAGAGTTCTTAAGTCTATTATTGTGCTTGATAGTGGGTATAGTTTCCTTGGGCTTGAGTCAATACACTCAGCACTCGGTCATTACAAGTGTTATCTCAAGTATAAATAAAACAAACATATTTAAGAAGAAACATTCTGATATTGTTTTTGTTGCATCCTTTAATTTGTGATTCGATCCTGTCCTATATGTTGAAAAGGAATTAAAAAATTAGCCGATTTTTATTGTAACCCTCTAAAGTGGGGATAAAAATCCATTTGAAGTATCTCAAGAAATTCTATCAAGAGAGATTAAATTACAAGTGAATATGCTTGGGATGAGTGAAAATGTGTATTGCACAAATATATATGTAGCATTATTCAAAACTTATATTGTACTCGTTTCAATGCATCTTTACTGATGATTTAATTCCTCTTGATTGAAAATTTGTTCAGGACATCTTGAGCGAACTCTTTTTTGCTTAGTCATATTTGAAATGGGAAAATCTCAAGATAATCTCATGTTTATTAGTATGTCACCAATTTAGTCTCAAATATCACATTCCTCTAATTTACTTCTCAATTGTATAACATTGATCCCCAAATGATCTCTTTTGGACCAAATTGGAATCAATGTTGCATCCCTATTTCTGTCACTTTCTATGTGAGGAATCATTGGAGATTAATTTTATGTAGTTAAATAGCTAAACTGGAGAAATATCATATTCTGAGATCAAATTATCCACATTCGAATAGTCCAAGGACTACTTTGCAAGCCTTTATGCCACTATGTGGGGTTAGCTACGCGAATTCTTTTTCTCCATTGTATCATGTTAAGAGTCAAATTCTCATTGAGCTGTTTCTCAATCGGAAATATTTCCTATGTAGATTCCACAATCACCTCCTTTTAATCAAATGCTTAAATTCCAATAACAAATATTGTGGAGCCAATCACTTCAAATTTGAAAATCTGTCTGTTAGGAGGCATTACTACAGAACTGCCATTATTCATTCTGATATTGCACATATTGATTGTACACTATTTCAGCCACAAATGTGGTGCTCATGTTGGCACACACAAAAAATAAACAGACAACTTTATTCAATCTATCATATAATGCTGCAGAAATCTTATTTGTATTATCATCATCTTGTTGCTCTTGGCAGCACCAATGACAGTGTATTGGAAGAAATGAAGAGAGAATACATAAATGAGGGTAGCAAATAAGAAGAGAACAATCTGTGCAAATACTTCCAGCTCGCTTGACTTGTTGATGATAAATGATATGTTATTCAGTCTAATTTCTATATGTATGCCATTCTGTTGAAATATAGGCTTTGTTTGGGAAAACTTTTTTTACTGTTTTCTAAAACAATTTTTTAATATAAAAAGATTTTCCCCACCATAGTTACAATTGCTAATTTTTATACCTAACACACAAAAATTCGCCCGTCATTCTAGTTATTAAGCAGTAAAAAATTATCTCAACTTGAGACATGCCATCACAGCGTCTGCCTGACCGATACTTATTCCAATCTTGATCTTGAAAACTTGCTCACATTTACGCTTAGATACACATTATTATTCAGCTTTGCCATTTGGTATTTCATAGGCTTTTCAAGTATCTGGTATGGTGAGAAAATGACTTCAGTTACTGCTGTAATTTTAGCTCTTAGAACGGAACTTCTGACAGAATATCGCTCTACAAGGAAGTATTAATTCCTGCTTTAAACAAATGTTTTACTCAATTTAAATCATTTATAACTCAAGGCATTGCCTTATGAAATATAAATAAAATCCGCTACTTGGAGCCTTTTATTATTTTTCTCGTCCTTTGTACGTGCGTGGTCTGTGAGTACAAGAAATATTTACAAAAATTATAATTATGTTCGAGTTTCCTATTATAGTTTGGTATAAATGGATGGACGTTATCCTTCAAATCTTTCCGTTGTACAGTTTGTTTTTAATTAGTAATAACGTTATTCTCTTCACTGTACAGCATTTAATTTTGAAATAAGTTAATTACCATATTATATTCTCGTCCCATCCTTTTTACTCAGTATATATATCGACAAAAATTTATAATCTTTCGTTTTTATTCTAAACCAAAGTCGGCGCACCAATCACGAGCAAAAATAATCACTGAGGTAAAGGCGTTAACTTTTTTTAAATAAAACTAACTACTATTACAATATTAAATATTAAATAATTTATTATCTTATTACTATCTTTTTCCATGCTTCTTTCAAGGTTCAATCAAATTATTAGTAATTAAAATAAAAATTAAAAAAATTATTGATCGATTGAGAAGACTCTGAGAACCACTACGAAGATAGATTCGCGGGCAAATTTATAAGTACCACATCTATCTCTGATTGGTGGGGGAAGTATGATGGTTACAGAACCAAATTTTAAGTCTTTACAGATAGGACATGTTTAATAATCAAACAATCAGATTTCTTAGAAAGAATTTTTTTTTTTTTTTTTGTCTTAGAAAGAAAGTTGAAATTCATGATGGGAATCACAATGGATGATTAGATTTGATGTCATGGATTTTACTCAATGAAACATTTTCTCCCATTTTAGAAAGGATTCTTTGAAATTATCATCAACAACAAACTTTTATCCAGCGATGGAGTTGGCTACATTAATCTTTTTTGTTTTTGTCATTGTAATCTATTAAGAGTCAAATTCTCATCTAAACCTACGAAATATCATTTCTAATATTTTTTAACCAAATCTTTTTAGGTCTATCTTATCCTTTCTTAACATAAGTCACATTTAATACATCTACTTTTCTAACAGGGTTATCTAAAGGCTGTCGTTTTATGTGACCAAACCAAACGATCTTTCACTGGAGCTACAACATTTTCATGTATATACTCATTCCGTCTCTAAGAGTAAAGCCATTTATCCATCTGAGCGTCCTCATCTCTGCAACGCTTAACTTAATATTATGCTTCTCTTTTAATGGCCAACAATATGCACCATAAAGTATTGTAGGTCTAACCACCATTTTATAAAATTTTCCCTTAAATTTGAGAGGGACTTTTCTATCACATAGCAAGCCCGCTCATTCCTCCACTTGAACCATCCAGCTTAAATTCTACTAATAAAACAAAAAATATATAATGAAAAAAAAAAAACACACACAATTTCAGTTATATTATTTTGTGTTTATATGTTCAGATGCTGCGGAGGCACCCTTTTGCTGAAATCAATATGTCAAACAACATATTTAGACTTGGATTTCGTTTGGGACGGCTTTCTTACTACTTCGTAAAGTGGTTTTTAGTACAAATTTTTTATTTTTTGTATTAAAAAGTCACTTTAAGAAGCAGAAAGAAAGTCATTTTGGGACCGTTTTCTTTCTGCTTCTTAAAGCAACTTCCTAATATAAAAATTTTAATTTTTGTACTAAAAAGCTGTTTTAAGAAACAATAAAAAAATCATCCCAAACGAAACCTTACTTCAAATAACAAAATTCAAATCTGCTTGAGCACTGCTGAAGCGTAACAAACAGGTAAACAATCTTGCCCCCAGAAACTCATGATTTGGACGACAAAACAAAGGGAGTTTCATAAACTCTTTATTGCCACACCAATAATTTTCTGGAATTGAATTGATGCAAACCATCAAATTGCAAACTTAAACCAAACATACGGCTTCACAAATTTGTTAAATAGAAAAATGCCCAAATTGTTCATAAGTAGTTCGACTTAACTTAGGCTTCATTTGAGACGGCTTTCCTCTTACAGCTTTTTAGTATAAAAATTTCTTGAATTTGAATTTTTTGTATTAAAAAGCTGTTTTAGAAAGCAATACAAAAGTTGTCCCAAACGAAACCTTAGTTTAAAATAGTTATATTCAAAATGCGTTAACTTGATTTTTAATAATTCAACATCATTGAAGGAAAATGTCAGATAAATTACTTGTATAGAACCAAACTGTCAACATAAATCATATGCAACCTAACTTGGTTTTATTCAATTTTTTGAAAACTAGAAACAGCCAATGAATTAATTGACCTATACAAAACATGAAACCTACACAATCAAACTGCTTAACACAAATCAAAACTAGAAAATTACAAAATGAAACTCTATTTGCGAAATGCCATTCACAGTGAACAAAGAATTAACCTCTTGTTAATATTGTTTTTAGCCTCTAATACCATATTTCTCCTACCACTTGTTAGCAATAAGCTCACAAAAATTAAGATTGTTACGGACTAGAATATACGCGACGATAGAGTTAGAAAGTTCGCGTCTCAGCATTGTATAGATATCCAGCACACAAACAGAAGATAAAAGAACATTAGGATTTTTAGGTGGAAAACCCTAGAAAGAGAAAAAACCACGAGGCCACACCCAGTTGAAAAAGTTCCACTAGTGTTATTTGAGATACAAGAGGCTGACTTGTCCTTGAAATTTAGGACGATCAGATTACAATAAATCACTTCTAGATTGAAATCCAGTTACAATGTCGGGCAGAGTTCCGGCGTCTCTTGGAGATCGGGCGGAATTCTGGTGTCACTTGAATGTCGAGAAGAATTCTGGCATCACTCGTGTGTTGAGAAGAATTTCGGTGTCCCTCGGGCGTCGGACAGAATTCCGGCGTCACGCGGGCGTCGGGCAGAATTATGGCGCCACTCGGGCGTTGAAAAGAATTCTGGTGTCCCTCGGGCGTCGGGCAGAATTCCGGCGTCACTCGAGCGTCGGGCGGAATTCCGATGTCACTCAGGCATCGAGCAGAATTTCGGCAGTGGTCGTGGAGGAGTTTCTTCCCTCCAATCATTCTCTTCTTCTTCCTCTTTTCCTCTTCTTGCTTGGGTCCCCTCTCATGAGAAACGAAGGGCCTATTTATAGATATTCAGGAATGGCATGGCTTGTAAATAGGTGAGAGATCAGGGGTAAATAAGGAGTGGTTGGATGGACGGCCGATATTAAACCCCTTGATCGTGCACTGTTCGTCAGACATTTTAAGGTCTCAATGATGTCGGAATTCGGTGATCTTGGGCTCGTTGGATTCATCTCGTCGAGCCGCTCAATTCGACTATAAGAACGTCATATTTGGAAAATGTTTCGTAACTCAAATTATGATTTGAACTTTCCAACAGCGCTTCGCGTGCTTGATTTGGACCCATCTGGGCTCAGACTGAGTCGAATTTGGTGTCATTGGGTTCGTATTTCCAAGATGCTCAGTTTGACTGTAAGTTTGCTGAAATCGGAGTTCAGGTGATCCCGAATTTAATTTTTGAAGTTTCCGTATTGATTTTGCCTTGAGATTCGTGCCCGATCAAGACAATTTTTTTGAGGATATATCAAAGATAGTCCAAATACATAAATCGTTCAAAATATTAAGACATCTAGCTCTAAAACTTGGTTGAGTCTTAAAATTAAAATAGTTTAAATACACGCCCATCAAACATACAAAGATGAACTCATTGAAAAATAGATTTATTTCGATTTCTTATTTAAGTTAATTTCTTATAATTTAATCAAAAAAGATTAACTTCAATCATTCAAACATTATTCAAATTTAAGATGAATATTTTTAGGCACATACTTTTATGTTTAAAAATGTTTATAAGTACATTTTTGAATCTTAAACTAAAAGCTTATGTAATTATATTCACACGACCATAATTTTTCAAACAACATACACCCAACTTCAATTGATGAATTTATTTTTTCTTAAGATCCTATTAACTTCACATGTAATATGTCCACTCTGTAAAAATCTTTAGATCTACTTTATTGTGGTTGCGGCGATCCTTCATCTATCTTGGGATTTAGATCATTGATATGTTGTAAGACTTGAAATCTTTCTAGGAGAAGCAATCTCCTTGTTCATCATAAGACAATATTATCATGTTAATGTTTCTTAATTTTTTTCACCTTCCCTTTTTTTTTTGTTTAAATTCATCCAAAAAAATCTCCAAATTTATCCTCCAATTGAAATTCAAAATGAAATATGAATTCAAACATTTATTTTATCATCTTTCCCTGTTTAGTGCATAATTTCCTACAACGGCCTTTACTCAATCAAACTTGAACCTAACCTAATTTCAAATGTTTCCTAACCTAAGAACAATCAAATTAAGCTTAGTTAGTTTTATTAATCCAACCCAATCCATCCCACCTAGCCCAAATAAAAGGCAAACTTTTTTTAATCAGTTACCAAAATGAGAATATTAATTTAGATCAATCTATCATTGGTTAAGAAAACCCCTAGGCTTCCCTAAACCCTAATCTAAAAATGATGAGGGTATTCTTGAGAATAAATAACCAAAATCTTCAATGAATA